GTCATTTCTCAGCTTTTTTTGAGAAGGTGGAGTATAAGATGATGAAGTATTTGAAGGATTACCTTGGTAAGAGAATGAAATACATTGATAATGTTCTCTGAATTGGAATCTCCTTTGGATTTGTGTTTCGATTGTTATTGCCTTCTTTAGTGTATCTTCAAGGTTTTCATACCCATGGAGGTCAAGAAGATCAGTGATGTTTTAGTTCAAGCCGATGACGAATCTTGATACAGTGTCCTTTTCTTTTTCGGTTATGTTAGCCCTATTGAGTAAAGACTGCATCTCTTTGTAGTAGTCTTCAACTGAACTTCTACCTTGTCGAGGTCGTTGTAGTCATAGTTTAACTTCTCGTGTATAATGTGTCGGTAGGAATCGCTTCCTCATAGTTTGTTTGAGGTCAGTCCAAGAAGTGATTGCTTGAATTTGGAAGTTTTCAATCTTTTTCCTTGTTTGCATCCACCAAGTTCGAGCATATCCTTTGAATTGCATGGTGATGAGGGGAACTTGTTTAGCTTGGGGGTAGTCATGGTATGCGAACATGAGATCAACTTTTCCTTCCCAATCGATGTACCTGTCCGGATCGTTGTCTTATTTGAAAGACAATACCGTGGACTTTGGTTTTACAAAGAGTTCGGGTGCTTGGAAATGTGGTTGTTCTCGCCTGGGTACAAAAAATCCAACATTGTTTGCTCTTGGATTCTGGTTTGGTAGATCCAGTTGTGGTTTTTTTCGTTCTCTCATGTATTGTTAAGTTCATCAAATCTTTCAATTTGAGTCGTGAGTCGGGCAAGTGTGGCTAAGATAGCCGTAAGTGTCTTGTTGTTATTGTCGCCCATTCTGAAATCATAACACTCAAAAGAAAATTTTAAAGTAAAATAAAAATAAAAGAAAAAAAATTAAACAAGCAAGAAATCTCACAAGTAACTCCAAGAAAGTAACACAGCGAGAGGCAAATAAGCCTATCTTGTACTCTTTAAAACTCACTTTACCAGGTAGTCTTCCACAGTTCGTATCGGAGTTTGATTAGTAGCAAAGGCGATAAGAAAACCTAAAAGCTCTAAGAGGCCAAACAAGGTTTAGACTCGAAGAGAACGAGAATGCAAGAAAGGAAGAAGTATGTAAACTCTTTAGTCCTACTAACACAAGAAATATAATGTGTTAGATAATGCAAAAGAACAATAAAAAGGAAAAACAAAAGAACCTAAAGCACTAAGAGTCAAAGGAAAAAAGAACCAAACCAGAAATCTAGAAAACGTTGGGTCAACTTGAGCAACGTTTTGAGGGGGTTACCGGTATCAAAAATTTTGGAACAATTCTTGAATGTCTTTTGATATGTCTAGAAACCACCTATAAAATTTCAGAACCGAATACCTTCAGTGGTATCCAGTAGACTGTTGAACGGTGAGTTATCAAACAATCTGTTTTTCGTGATCGTTTTGTTCGAAGGTCTTCTTGATCTAAAATATTATGATTTTTTTAATGATCTTCAATATATACAGTTTCAATCTGGAAATTTTCACCACGAAATTCCTCCTGTAGAATTTTCAAGAAATTCAACAAGATTCTAGACCGAATCTATCGTTGAAACTTGAATGATGTATTTGAAGGCTCAAATGAATTCCGATTGGAGTGAATTTTGGACTGAATATTACTCTTAGGATGAATATGAGATTTGGAGAAAATAAGCCCTAAATTTATTCGTTTGCAATTTTTTTTAAAATTTTGGTTTTTTTTTCTGGCCTTTTTTCTGACCTTTTTTTGTTTTATTTTGTATTTGAAAAAAAGTAAACTAACAAGAAGGATTTTAATCTAAATTAAAATCAAATAAAAAGAACCTGAAACGATGAATCTTTTGTGAACTAGCTCCGTTGGGGTACCTTGATGGTTATGTGTGCAAGAACAAGCAAGATTGCTTGCTTCTTTCTAAGAATCGACCCAAATCTGATACTAATTGATAGGGGAGCGGTGGCGGATTAATGAACGTTACTCTTGTTGAAGAATCAAACCTAGAAAGCTCTAGACTCGAGAAGAACAAAAGGGATGAATAGGGGAAGGTGGCGGCAACAACAACTAGGATTTTTTAGGGTTTCTTTTAGGTGCTTGAATCAAGGCAATAAGATTAGAACAAAATAAACAAAAGATAAAGAAATTGAAAATAAAATAAGATAATAAAGAAATCAAAAGATCTCCCTTATGAAGGTGGACAGTAAAGATGATTGATGGTGCGGATGGATTTGTGGAAAATAGATGGATAAGTGTCCTATCGAACCCTCCTAGTCGCAATGAAAAGGCAAACTCGTTAAATGACTCTAACCAACCCTCCTAGTCGTGATCAAAAGACAAATTGGAGTGTGAAGATTAATCTCTCTCACAAGAACTTGAAAGAACTTCAGGAGAAGAAGTTTCGAAGGCACAAGGTAATCAACAGTTGCAAAAATAATCTCTCGTATTATTAATCAAAGAAATCTGATTTACAAAGTTGAGTGAAGCCTCCTTTATATAAGGGTGAGTTCTAAAGGTCCTAAATAACTAATGAATAAAATAATGACAAACTAAATATATCTTAACTCTAATTCCTAATAAAATAATAATAATTAAAAATAATGTTTTAACTCAACCTTATTCTTAATAAAATAATAATTCTAATCCTCAAAGATAATGCACATCCTATATTAAATTACATTACAAATAATCAATATAAATATTGAAAATTCGTAATATTTACAAAAATCATATATTAATATCGTATATGAATTTCTGCATGCGCACTCTTCAGTAGAGTTCCCGATATCAGATTGATGCGATTCAAGAACCGTTGGAAAGATAAGAGACAGAAGGTTGTATCTCCAGAAGATATGTTGACCAAATAAGATCAAGATCCCATTCAAAAAGTCGTCGCAACTCTATTGCTATTCTGGTCTTCTTTTCCAAGGCTTGGACGAGTGATCATTTGGAAGAGTTATTACTTCTTCCTTTGATGTGAGCCTTGTGATGCATGTATCATCCTCCCTTTCTTCAAAAAGATTCGATCTCGAATCTGAAACATTAAAGGGAGCAACATTAGAATCGTTTAATGATTCATTCACATTATGCTTACCGAATAGATATGCTTTGAATCTTTGGGACTTCGTTCTTCTAATAGGTTCGAGTAGAAACATTAGTCCAAAGAAGCATGTATTATGGAATCTGGTGCATGTATCATGGGATCTGGTGGATGTATCAAAAACCAAAGACCATAAATAGGAAGGTAAATAAGGTAGTTCTTGACAACCTAAACTTAAGTTGCAGATATCATCTTGAGCCACGAGTTTGCAAGTTTTGGCTTGGTTTGTGTTATCTGGTCTCCTGCTCTGGTATCCGGTCCGGTGTCTTTTGATATCCTGTTTTTAGCCCTACTACTTGTCACTGTCTTATTTCACACTCTATCCTTCACCTTGTTGAGAACAAGAATTTTGTAAAGTGTATCAGTCTAATGGAAATACTGAACTGTTATTGCAGTTATTTGCCACAATTGATGGAGTAGTTTTTTTAACAATGCGATTTAGGCTATTAGTGGTGGCGGACGGTGCCTCTACCATGAAATAGCAGCCACAATACCGTTATGCCACCGCTATTTGAAACCCCGGGTTGTACAACTATGAAGCCTCACACATTTGTTTCAATTTCCTATTACCCTTGTCCTGCTCATCCATAAACCAAGGGTTTATCAAAAACTTTGGAGCTGCCTAGTTACAAACCTATAAGCTCATTTTACTGGTAACACTAACAAGCTCTGCAATTCTTTTTGAATGGAAAGTGCATTATGTGGTTTGATAAATATAACATTTTCCCTATATATTGTACTATCCAGTTTTATGTCATAGGTTCTTTTAAGAGACTTCTTGGCAGTAGCTGATTATATTGTAAAGACACGGAGTTGTTTTTCCACGTACGCCACCCGAAATAGGCGAAGGCATGTTACTCCATTCCTTGTGTTCCATTATTTCTAATTTAGTTCAATTGTTGAGTTGCTCTTTTTTTCTGATTCGGTTCTCAAAATTCTATAATGCGAAGTAACTTGATTGTTGATTGCAGTTTAGCTAGCATCGGATTAGATTTTTTACATCAGGTCTCATTGGCCTTGTTCTTGCTATGAATTCAGCTTGTCCTTTATAAAGTTCCAATTTTGAAGCTGCCTTTTTATTTTTGAGTTTCATCTTAAGAACAAAATGGATATGAATTGATATTTTTTTTTATCGTTCATCTTAAGAACAAAATGGATATGAATTGATATTTTTTTATCGTTCTTTACGGAATTGTGTAAATCAGAAGAGAGTCGAGAGACTAATGAGGATACTGAATGTAATGGTCTCATTTAAATTTTATATATCTGATGGGCATCTAATATTTGTATTTTTTTTTGCCTCAGGTATGGGACCTTGGAGGGCAAGATCGACTAAGGACATCATGGGCCACATAGTATCGCGGAACTCATGCCGTTATCATGTTGGTAGACAGTGTGGATAGGGCCAGGATCACCATTATAAAGGAGCTCTTCAGGTTGCTCTCACACGACGACCTACAAAATTCTGTCATACTCATCTTTGCAAATAAACAAGAGGATGCAATGACCTCGGCTGAGATCACGGACGCCCTTTAACTTCACAGCATAAAAACCCACGATTGGCACATCCAGGCCTGCTCTGCATTTACCGGAGTCGGGCTATACGATGGTCTCGGGTGGATCGCCCAGCATGTTACCAGAAAAGCATCAAGTTAAAAAAGGAGGCCGATCACTGAAAGAAAAATTCCATTCATTCTTCATATATTATGGATTCTGATTGAAACAGAGTAAACTTTTTGTATATCTGTGCCTGCTGTATGAACTTTCCTAGACTGTTTTAACATTTTCTGCACAATGAAAGCATTTTCATTTAAAATATGATAATGAAGGTATAAATTACTGTAAATTTGTCATTTTTTCTGCACAATGAAATCTCTCACTCAAACATCAACAACACTGTAAACCAAGGCCTCTCCAAATTAGAGACAAAAACTCTTCCAAATCATCAAAATACAGTCACAGTATCCAACATCTACAGCCTCGAGATTCCTGGGGGCCTTCGAACCATTGATCCCACGAGAGATTTAGAGGGCCACTTGTGATTGGAAGTAATGGATCAGGTGTAGTTTCCACATTACTCAGCAGCCTGCCAATGCCATGGATCAAAAAACAAATTCGAATCAGCTTTTGCCCATAAGATGCCAAATGAATACCATTGATGTTAATGCTTACTCTTTGCATGCAGTTGAGGCCATCTCCATTCTTTCTATCTGCTCCAGCTCTTCCTGTGTGTATGATAAGGTCAATAAACATGGCAATAATGGGCTATGTTACTCAAAATCGATTGTTGATATGTGTCGGATACGAATGCCTCAAGAAAAATGAAGAGTCGGAGCAATGTACTAACATTAAAAGTTCTAACCTTTAAGCATATATCAACATTTTTTAACATGCAAGACTGCAAACAATTGCAGTTATTGCAATTGATTCTCAGCATAGAACACGGAAAAGGAAAATTTAGTGGTTCAAGCTAATTGGTATTTTCAAATATTCTTGTATTAGACAATCGAAACAGAGAGAGAAGGCTTCTTTTATTGGCCAAAGTCGGCCATTTCCGGGTACAAATGGTGGGATATATACGGTTTCCTATGTATGGAACAACAACTCTAACCTGATTAACAAATTAAGTTGTATTCCAACCTATAAAAGAATGAAGAACATAATTTGATAAATCTCGAATTTAGGTAAAGGAAGTTTAGAAATTGTCTCAACAAAAGAGGCATATGGACATCACATGGAAAGATATGCAAGCAAGGAATCTGTATGCAAGTATAAAAGAGGGGAAAGTAGAACTTTCTATATATTTACAAGTAATGCCCTCGGAAAATATCTTACCGCGTAAGTTTCCAGTTTCGGTAAGATATTTTCTGATGGCACTACTTGAAAAATATATAGAAAGTTCTATAACGGGTAAATCTTTAGGTAAGCAAGGAAACTTAAACTAGAGATTATATTAAGTAGCACACTTGAATTACATCCTCATTTCTCAGTAAACAGCATATAAAGCCCCTTTCGACAAATGTCCACGTGGTTGTGAATTCAAGCCCGGTATAAAACAATATACTTCCTCCTTGCTAATGGATATAACTGACTGGTAAAATTTCAAACAGTTGTTCAGGTATCATCCAAGTAACTTTTAGAAAAAGCCTTCCCATCATTTTGGTGAGTAATGGTAAGTTATTCATTCAAGTAGATTCCAAATACGGAATACCATTTGTTTGTTCGCAAGAAGTTTAAAAAGAAACACGGAAACAAAAGTTTCAACAAACCCGATCTAGCAGACGACAGACATCATGCATTAACTAAGAAAGTGAGCATAAACAGGCCAACTTAATTAACCAAAAAAAGGACTCAAGAACAAATTTCCAGACACTGGAGACCTAGCGGCCTAACACGAAGTGCAAGCTCTTAAAGTCATTGTCCAAATGTACAATCATCAGACAGATGAGTTAACATTAGGGCTTCTAGAAGGCTCAAAGATGGTTATGACTTCAGAGCCAAGGACAGTAAAGATGGCAGTTCGAGCAAGAAGCAACTGAATATTCAATTCAAAAAGGCAGTCTACCAATGCAATGCCTGAATGAATTACACGGATGAAGGTTCGGATTAATTGAAGTGAAGAAAGAACCAGTGCAGTGTAAAGAATTTCTTTTTACAGCTGCAAGGCCAAGAGACTACAATGCATCAAAGGTGATCTAAAGCAACACTATGTACTTCCAAGTTTAGGACACTCTATAAGGTTAATTAATATACTATTTATAGCAATAACATTGTACTAAATGGTAATACAGTACCCCAAACTATCTAGCAAAAATAACTGAAAATAATCAAGCCTCAAGGTCTGGCATAAGATAACTTCATTGGCCAGCAAAAAGGATTTGATTCAAGCCAAAGGCTATCATATGCTCTATATATGTTGCGAGTTACATAAAAGATAACGACAAACAAACCATCACACAATAAAATCAAGACAAAAGAAGGAATTGAATTCAATCGGTCTTCAACAGATCAATGAATGAATTCAATCCAAAACAACTATATTAAACACTGCATACAAGTAAACCAACATTTCAGCAGCTAAAGAGAAACCCCAAAAACAGAGATAATAACTTTACTTACTAACCTCTAAGAATCTAGTTTCTTGCTCTAGCCTTTTCAGTTCAGCTCGTATCATATGCTTCCCTCTGGTATCACTATCAGCTGGTTGAAAAACTTGAACCCGCTCGGGAATCGGACCCACCATGGATTGTGATCGACCCGACTGCATCTTCTTCACAGCAATATTCTAAACAATCCCAAAATGCCAAAACTTTGAAAGAAACAAGAGAAGTGGTGTATGAAAAGTTGAAGCTTTGTTTAGCTTATTGCATCAGAACAAAATGAGAAAGAGAGGGGCAAATAAGGGTGCCCCAGAAATCCTTATGGACCCCAGTGAAAAAAAAAGAGAAGCTTGAATTCAGTCAACCAATTACTAAAAACAAAACAAAACTAAAACAACAAAGTAGCCTTGTTTTAGGCAAAGACAAAATGGATCTGTGGTGGGATTTTTATGATGAAAGTGGCGAAACAGAGTTGGGTTTCTTTCTTCCCGTTTTCTTCTTGGCCTTAAGGAAGGTGAAACAAAGAAGAAAAGACGACTTTTTTTAAGTTTAAGATTGAAGGAAAAGGTGGTTTATTTTTCCTATCATTTTCTGTCGTTTTTACTTTAGGCTGTTTGGTAAGGCGTTTGGTATAGTGTGATTATTCAAAATTCATGATTATCTCTCTTAAAAATAGAACTGATTTTTGTTTTCAGAAAGATAAATAAATCTGATTTTCATTAATATAATATATATATATATATATATAAACAAATATGATCATCTTATACAATATAATTTTTTTAATTTTACATATATTTAGAACCGTTTAAAGATTAAAAATAGATAACTGAGATTAATAGTAAGAAATGAGAAAATATTCACTGAAAAAATAAGAATCAATATCAGTAATCTATTTTCACTCATCTAATGATCTTAAATCTGTATAAAAGTAAAGAGTTTTATATTGTGTAAGTGAATCGTATATATACAAATAGGTTTTCATTTGATTTCTCCGATTGTAAATAAAATTTAATTTTTTTAAATTTAAATCATGAGTAAATAAAGGATAAATTATATTGTTAACCACTTAACTTTTCTTCTCACTCTTATTTTAATTATTCAAATTTAAAAAATCTAAATTTAATCATTTAACTTTTGAATTGGTGATATGTCTTATTTTATTAATATTTTTCTATGATATATCATATTTTATTAGATTTTTTTATCATATAAGATCTAAAATAAAAAAAGAAAATTAACGTCTAAAATATAAATCTTAAACTCGAAAAAAAACTAAATTCTTAAAACATTTCGTAGCGTCTAAGTTGATGCCCATCCTCTTAGACAATATTTTGGGAAAATTTACTTAAAAATCACCCTAAAAATAATATATCTTCAATCTAACACCCATTCCCCATTATTTCTCAAACTAATACCTTTTCTGACAGTGTTGAGCGAAGGCACGTTATCAGGGGTGCCTTCATGGGGTTTACTGATGTGGAGTGAAGACATGTTTCAAGGGATTTAGTTGATGTGGCTATGGAAAGCATGTTTCAAGGGTTGTGCCTTTCAAAGGCGTGTTTGGGGGCACACGTTTTTGCCCTAGTTTAAAGTAGTTTTATGTATTTTAGGGTTTAGGGTTTATATATAGTTTAAGGTTTAAAGGGTTTAAGGTTAATGATTTTTAGGGTTTTGGAAATTTATAGTATCAAGGGTTTCGGTTCTGATTTAGGAATGATTTAAGGTATTTTTTTAATGTTATTTAGGTTGGAGTGGTTTAAGGTTTTTTAGGTTAAAGTGATTTAGGTTTTTTAGGTTAAAGTGGTTTTGGGTTTTTAGATTGAAGTGGTTTTGGGTTTTAGGTTAAAATGGTTTAGGTTTAAGGTTAGATTAAAATGAAAATGTTAATCACATGAAGTAAGAGCTAAATGGATTTTTTTAGAAAATACACATACATTGAAAAATATTAGAACATACAATTACATTGAAATATTTGAAAATAAGATTACATTGAAATATTAGAAAAGCACATACATTAAAATAGTAGAAAAACACATACAATATTGAAATATTATAAAAACACAAACATAAAAAATACAATTACATAAGTAAGAGGTAACGATTAAGTGATAATAAAAGAGCTGGGCAATTTTTTCCATTGTGGCCTAGGTTTATGCAATGCCTACATCTTTTATGTTCTCTTGAGCTCCCTCGAATATCCATATCACAAAGAATTCGAGTGGATTTTGGACGACCTAAGTCTCTCAATAGCAACGAATCTGGTACAGTTGTAAGCCAAGTATGAATCTCATTTGGGTCTTTTTCGTTACCTATGGGAGAAACTCAAATTCATATACCTTGAATACTTGTGAAAGTTGGTATACGGGATCAACATAACTTTTGTAGTCCGAATGAGAATGTGAGCAAGTTGTTATGACATGGGAGCACGGATATTTGAGTGCTTGAAAGAAACCACAATCACACTACCTTTCTGACATATTAACTATGAAAGAGTTAACTTCAATCCCTTGAAGAGGACATGGAATTTTTGTAACACAAAATATTTCACGGGTGCGAGAAAAATTCGTTACCAACATCCCATTTGATGCTGCAACTTTTTTATGTAAATCTACTACTAGTCTTGGGTGATAAATATGATCATTTTGCATCCAAGTAAGAGCTTGTCCATGAGCTTTGCAAATAGTTATCCCAAAAGAAAATAAGTTGTTTTGACTAACGTCGTGATTGGTAAATGACGCGCCCCCTTTAAGGTTGAATTGATAGATTCAACCAAGTTGATTGTCATATGACCATATCGATACCCCTATCATAAGCATTTTTCCATATTTTTTATTGATGTACATAATGTACTCTCACCCTTTCTTGTTTTTGCCAAACAATTGTTGTAGCATATACTCAAACCTTTGAGGTAAGAGTTCGTAACCTAAGCCATAAGCCATATGTAATAGTTAGTTTGAAGTAGAAATAAATAAAATGAAAATGATTAATTTTTTTGAATAAAATTAACACACCCATGCGCACGACTAATTGATGTTCATCATTCTTCTTGTATTTTCCTGTGGAAACTAATTTCTGTCCTATTTAATATATTAGTATATTATTTTTTATTATTAGTATGATACATATATTTATTCATTTTATATGTATTTTTTTACAGGTCCAACAGTGTTTACAAACCTGGAGGCCTAACATTACACACTAAACCCGACAGGTAGCCCAAGACCCGTGAACCGGTCTAGACCCGAATCAGCTAGGGTTTGGAACCTAGCTTCTCACTTCTCTCAAAGCGCCACATCCCTCGCCCGAAGACTCCTCAAGCCTCAACCGCTCGGTCAAGCCACCTCCGATTTTCTTGGCATTTCCTTGACATCAACTCAAGCAACACAAATAGAGGTTTAGTTCGAGTAGAACTCTAGGAAAAATGGGAGAATAAAAATAGTAATCTTAGACTATAAATAAGCATGTAAATATTAAGCAAATGACAAGATTACCGAGAGGAAATCATACAAGAAAATACAAAAGAAATCGGAGCAAAGTATTTTGTATCTTTCAAACGAAAAGAGAAATAAAAAAGGTATGCTTTTAAGTCCATTAAAGGTGAGTAATTCGGATCAAACTTTATCTTTCAATTTAAATTACAATTTTCTTAATTAAGACAAATGGAAATTAATTAGTACCGAAAAGGTAGTTCAAGGGTGCTAATCATTCCTTGATTGTAACCGACTCCTAAATCTGACATATTTTTGGTAAGGCACAGATCAGGTAAGATGGTGTCCTATCAGCCTAAATATTATTTTTAAAATGATCGGTGGTGACTCTAATCATTTTATTTAAGTTGAAGCCCAATTCCGGGCCCACCTGAAAGACGGTCGCGACAGCTTGGCTACTCTTCTAGGGACTAAAGGTAAGTGAGTCAAGTTAAGGTTAATTTTCAGTTGTTTTTTTAACGAAAAGGGAAAGTTTAAATTTTAAAGTAACTTTTCGATCCTTATTACTTACTTTTGATTATCTTTTCAAATAAATAGTTGTACTGACGATTTCTTTCAATGGTTTCAGCTTATAAAACTTTTTTTCCCATCTAAGGCTCTATACCCGAGCTCTGAATCCTTTTAAGTGGGGGTGAAAGTGACGCCTTAGTGATAATTTATTCTCCGCATAGGCCTAGCAATTAATCTTCGGGATTCATATACCTTATGTCTTCGTGTGAATTTATTCACCGTGCGGGCATAAGGGAATGTATCCTCTCTGTTGAAAACATTTTTTATGTTTCGATATAATAAACTAACTATAAATGAATTTTAAGATTTTACAAAGAATTTTATAAGTATATTAGATTCAATTAATCAAATATCAAATTATTACTCCAAGTCTTTTAAGATAAATTTCAAACCTTACTAAATATGTAAAATTGTGTTATACTTAATATATTTTTGAAACAATTTTCACAAAGTATTTTGAACCAAAATCAAGCCTAAAATCAATTTTTCAAAGGGACGCACCGATGCACTAATGAATAAATTGAACATCGAATGCAGTTTATGCATTGATGCACTCTCCATGCATAGATGCACTCAGGTTTTAATGAAAACATTGAATGCATTTGATGCATCGATGCACTCAGGATATTTTGAAACATTGAATGCACTTCATGCATCGATGCACTCTTAGTGCACCGATGCACTCTTAGTGCACTGATGCACTCTTAGTGCACCGATGCATTAAGGGTCCAATGGTCAAAATATTTGAATTTTACATTTGATGCACCGATGCACCTTGTGTATGCATCGATGCACTGACGCTCCCAACTGATTTTATTAATTATTTTCACACTTAAACAACTATATTGACTCCACTAATCATCCCCAACGTTCAGAATCAATTGAAGAAGTATTTAAACAAGCTTAGAAGCCATTGATCAACAACAAGAAACAACAAGAATCAAGAATTAAGAGAGAATCAAAGAGAAAGCATCAAACCTCAAGTTTGAGCATTTCAAGCCTATTTTTCATTCAATATTCATTTTGCTTTCAAGAACACTACTTGTACTCAATTGTATTCATTTTTGAGTGTTCTTTTCTTTGTTCTAGAATTGTGCAAACAATCTACCTTGTGAGGATTTCCTTGTAAGTTTGCAAAATTGTAATCTTCTCTTTGAGAAAGAGTGTTCTCAAGATTTGGGGTATATTCTTGAGGGAGTTGTAAGGTTATCTCTTTGGCCTTAAAAGAAAGAACAAATTAGTGAATTTGTTGGAAAATCCTTAGTGTGGATAGCTAAGGTAGTGGACGTAGACTTTGGTTGAGAAAGCCGAACCACTCTAAATCGTTGTGCAAATCTTTTCAATTTTCTGCAAAAGCTTCCACCAAAATTTTAATATCCAATTCACCCCCTCTTGGTCGATTCCATCAATCGATTAAATCAATAATTGGTATCAGAGCCATACTCATTTGAAGGTTTAATCGCCTCTTGAGTCGATTCGGAAAGAGTTACATCGATAATCAAGTCATCAATGGCTTCTACTTCAAACTTCAACTCCGATCTCGATTCGATGCCCGTCA